AACTCTCTAAATCAATACTCACAATGATTAAACTCTCTAAATCAATACTAACAATGATTAAACTCTCTAAATCAATATTTACAATGATTAAACTCTCTAAATCAGAGGTCTTCAACAGGGGGTACTGCATGGGGTCCGTGACATTTTTGGTTGATTAGACAATTTTTATTTTTATTTTTTTTCCCAAACATGAATCTGTCCATTATTGTAATAGTTCAGTATTGTATGCAAGATAACAGGTATGCATGGCAGTGGCACTAATAGGCCATCACTGTGAGGATTTATGTCTAACTCTGCTGTATTTCCCTCAGTAGTGTCCTACGAGTCCCGCCCTCTGCCCTGCCTCTCTCCGTGGGCACAGCTGTGCCTCATCTCCGGTGATCATCTCCAGCTGACATAAATACTCCTGTCACTCTCATTCCGGCTGTCAGTCCGTCCGTTTACCAACCTGGTATTCCGACCCGTGAGTTGTCCGTTTGTTCACTCTGTGAGATTCCACCACTAACAATCCGTTTTGTTTTCAACTTACCTGCCATCCTGTGTCGAGCCTCGGGTTTTCACCTGCATGAAGAAGCCTTCCAGTTCGTTCCTCGGAGATCAACTGTGAAGTCTTGGCAATCCTGTGTCGAGCCCCGGGTATCACACAGTCGATCCAGCCTGCCTGCCAGCCGCGGACGCGGACTAGCCACTTTCCGGCTTGGACCCGTGCGGAGCGCGTGGAGACGCCTCCTATTGACTTTAACCATTTCCTGTTTTTTCCCCTGACTGAGAGAAATAAATGATCTTGGTTTGAAATAGAACTCTGCTGTCCTGAGTCTGCATTTGGGTCCATGAACACACCACATCATAACGATCACTCATTTTTTGTTTCCACATTTATGTTTAAATGAAAATATCAATTTGAATAGCTTGTATAGATGATTATCATGTAATTAACAGACAATGTTGATATTGGCATTGGTATCAGTAGACAAGGTATGTTTCTAAATGTCGGTGGCACGGCCTCCCTACTCACTGTACCTTGCACATGTTTAAAATAAAAACATAAATATATGAACCTGTATTATTTGAATAGCTTAGTATTGAATGCACATTGCAGAGGTATGTTTATACATGGCACTAGGCCCAGTTTAATACAAAACACAATTTTATACAATATATATAGTCGGGGGTCCCTGCTCCATCTCTCTATCAGTTTGGGGGTCCTTGGCCTGAAAAACGTTGAATACCCCTGCTCTTAAGGATTAGTTTTTATAAAATGTCAAATATAGGGAAATTATGAATATCAAAATGTAATTTGAGCTAACTTTCCCTTTAATTATCTCAAAACTCGTAGAGTAATATCTCATATTAGACATGTACATAGTAAGGGTCATCGTGAACAATCCAGGGACATTTTGACATTACCTCTTAAGGATTATTTTTTATTAAATATCAAATATAGGGAAATTATGAATATCATAATTTCATTTGAGCTAACTTTGCCTTTAATTATCTCAATAAATGTACAGTAAAATGACATTACATTTGACATGGAGATATATGGGGTCATCTTGAACAAAACTCCAATGGAAATGTTAGCTAACAATGAAGGAAATGTTTTTTTTCAGATCAAAGATTATTATTAGGTAATATTATAATTATTATAATGGAGAGAGAAATGCCATGTCGGCTGTTAAATAAAATCCAATAAATGATTCAATAAATGAAAATGATATCGTAGTATAATATATAGAATTATAGAATTGGATTACAAGTCGGTGCTTCAATAATATTTGCATTCATTTTCAATTAAACTGTAAGAAACATCTGATAATGTAATGAGGTTTGACTCTCGTTTTTCATGAAACGTTTTTGTTACAGAGGAATTTTTCTTATGCAAAATTGAGCAAAAATGCACCAATTTGCCTATTTCAGGTCAGAGTTGTGTGGCTACACTTATTTGGGTGTATTGTATGATATCAAGACAGGATCCGAGTTGTCACTTTTATAACAAGGATAAGATAATATTTTGTGTTTATTCCACTTCTTAGAACCTGGTGAGACTTTCCTACTTTGGAGACTTAAAGTTTCATCCCTACTCAGTCTTCTCTGAAGGAAATACCGCCGAAAAGTACAGCCAGTCAACATCCGTTGGCAGTTACTGTGAAGGTTGCTTCTCTCGGGAGTCAAACCTCCAACCCCTGCGTGCTCTTAAAAGACGTTTGAGGCTGAGAAGAGGCCAAAAGTGGAATATCATGCCTCCTGTTATCATGATGGCCAACTGGCAGATGCAGACATATAATACATTGCTTTTGAAAATGTACACATTCGCTGGGTAATTACGTATTTTTGTGTTTATTATTGGAGCACGTATGGCACTTGACAGAGATAAACTCATCACAATCAAAAAATGAAGCGAGGGGATTGGATGAAGTGCAGCTGACCTTAAGATGATCACCACCCACGTCATCTACCACCCGGCAGACCAGCCGGAGCAAACGCCATGAAAGGTAGATCGCAGGACAGGATGAGGTGAACTGTGTTTACATCAGCGATGCTTGGTGCTCAGACATAGTCAAAGTTGATGGACCATATGCAATTCTGACATTGAACACAGGGTGGAGCATTAATGTAAAAGTGCATAAGTGCCTGGTGATGGGAAACAGGTGTGTGTGGCCGTGTTTTAGCATGACGTGTATTATTCTGTTGTGTATTATTCTGTGTATTGTTCTGTTGTGTATTGTTCTGTCGTGGGGTATTCTGTCGTGCATTGTTCTGTTGTGTGGTATTCTGTCGTGTATTATTCTGTCGTGTATTATTCTGTGTATTGTTCTGTCGTGCATTATTCTGTCGTGTGGTATTCTGTCGTGTATTGTTCTGTCGTGTGGTATTATGTCATGTATTGTTCTGTCGTGTATTATTCTGCCGTGTGGTATCTTGTAACTTGTTAGTGTGAGAGCAGGATTGGCATGCTCAGATTCATTGGTACATGTACGATTGAACAATGATGATTTAATGCTATATGGTGACAATGTGAAACAAAATAAATGGATCAACGGCTGGAAAGAGATACAGCGCTCTGGAGAGTGAATTGTTTGTAGCCTAGAACACACGTCCGAATAAGTTCTCCCGTTCACCCCTCAGTGTATAATCATGTTCTAAAGATAAAGTGTTATCATATTCAATAGACAAGAGAAAGAAGGGTAAGAATTATACCCAGGTTCCCTAAAGCTAACGATATGCTTCATGTATCATATTCCCACATGTGTATGAACCTTTCTATCTTAATTGCTCTGGTCTGTGGTGCCTGCATTCTTTGGCCCTGACAAATCACTGCCGATATCAAGTACTGTACAAGAAGATTCCTTCAGGCGAGTAGTAGCACGAGCAAACCCACACATGCACACACGGTTGTAGTCACACTCACACATGTTTACACACACATATGCACCGTCTGGAACTATCAAGCATATCAAGATGCAGGGCGATTAAACAGCCTCAGAGAGAGAGAGAGAGAAAAGTCAAGCCCATGTGAGTAAATTCCCACAGCCACCACAACATTCACACTCTGACTGGCGGTCGGGGGGCTCTCATTAACCCTGTGAGTCTGAACCAGGGAGGATTAATGCCACAGTGGCTTTTCATGATCTGCACAGAGGCTGGTGTGTGTGTGTGTGTGTGTGTGTGTGTGTGTGTGTGTGTGTGTGTGTGTGTGTGTGTGTGAGTGAGTGAGTGAGTGAGTGAGTGAGTGTGTGTTTCGCCTTCAGTTGAGATTTAGTAGGCTAACTGAATGCAAACCCACTCCGACTCCCCCCAGATGTGCCGGAAAGCTGCTTTGAGTCTAGTTGTTGAATGAGGTTGAAATACAGCAACATGTCACTGAAGACTCAGAATCAGAAACCGTTTATTGCCAATGTATGTTGCACAGATGTAATGTGCATTAGTGCTGTATTCTCTTCTGTATTAGTTTTTTACTATATAAGCTGGGTACTGTATATGTTACTGAAGATTTACATTGCATTCTGGGAAAATATTACCTTAAATGATACTAATAAACTGGCTTCAAATGAGAAACTGTCCTTGATTTGAGTGCGATATTTAGTTTTAATATCAGAGCTCAGAACATTTACCATGAGACTTTCACTTTAGATTAAAAGTTTTATATTATTATTATATATTATTATATTATACTGAATTGCCTGTGAGGGTGACAAGAGTAAGATGTCCTGACGTGTTTGTCAAAGTGTTATCTACTGATTTTTTTCGTGTTGGAATAAATGTAATAATAACTACAAAGCAGTAATGCGTGTTTGATACCTTAATGTCTTTGCATTAAATCATACTGGGATGTTTGCTGAAATGTATTGGATGTGGCACAGCCCTACCTAGAACATGTTCCACCAGCCACCACTGCACCTGATATTGGTTACCAGGCCTGCTAGAATGGATGGAGATCATTTAGAAAACGGTGCTGAAACGTGTGGACAGAGATCGTTTTCGTTTCAAATTTTGAAACGAAAAGGTATTAGTGTGGACGTAACCTAAATTGCCCGTAGGTGAATGTGAGTGTGACCTTTCTGTCAGCCCTGTGACAGTCTGGCGACCTGTCCAGGTGAGCTCCGTCTTCGCCCAATGTCGACTGGGATCGCCCCCCCCCCCCTGAAAAGCATAAGCGGTTATGGGGTTATTGATAGATTTGATATTTTCACTCAGTTCCTGTGTGACTGTTTACAGTGTGGAGCATCCTAGATGGAAAGGCTGATCAATGTGTAGGGGGAGTAGCACTGTAGAATAGTCTACAGAAGAAACTTCTCGCTCCATCTGATGCCTTTGGCAGGAGGTGAGGACAGACAGCAGAGACGGAGAGCATTTCTTTCCAGGTGTTGCATGCGGCTCCGCCCACCCGCCTTCCGTCCTCCGCCCCCCGTGCCCCCGAGTCCAGGCTGCGCGGCGGGGGCTGGGCCACCGACACGCAGACGCTCCCAGAGTGGACAGCGCACGGAGAGAACAGCAGGGGCGCAGCAGCTCAGCTCAGTCGGTCCCTGCCTTCACGCAACCAGCGCGCACGACCGTCCTTCTCTTCGACAGGGAATCCGTGTTCTTCAGAGTTCCGCTTTTTTTCTCCATCGGCTCAGAGCGGTGTCACGGAGCTTCTGCACTCGGACAGGATGTCGGAACTTTCCGTCAATGACCACCTCGAAGGGATTTTATCCGATTTTGAAGGTATGTAGGCTGAACTGTTGAATGACTTCACTGGTGCACACTAATATAACCCCGGTGGGTGGCTGCAGCTCCGGGCTGGATACCGCAGCCTGGAGCGAGAGGTCTCCTCAAAATAAAACGGACACTTTGCTGACAGGTGAGCAAAGACACTGTACAGTTCTTTCAGAAAGCAATACACAGCATGTTCTTTGGATTGCTTTTCGTTAGTAACAGAGCCGTTTGTATTGTAGTTGATCAGCACACAGAGAATATGTGTGGATAGTATCCGGAGGGTCCGGGCTGTCCGCGCTGTGTTGGTCCTTTGTACACGTCACCTCGGGACATTTTTCACTGTAACTGTCTTTTTGTTGAACAATCATTAAATGTAGCGGGATTGATAATCAGTAGCACGAGTGTGATATGGGCTCACATCAATCTGGTATTGTGATCAGAGAAGAACTGGTTGAAGATATTTGGTGTCTTTCTGATAGCACGAGGTTACTTGATAATGTTTGGTTCTGTGTGCCTCTGAGTGAGACTTCCAGTATAATTAACGCAGTCAGATGGAAAAGGGCCTGGGCAGGTAAGAGAGCAGCACTAATAACATAGTGTAAGCAAAGCCACTCAGAGAGAGAGAGAGAGAGAGAGAGAGAGAGAGAGAGAGAGAGAGAGAATTGAGCTCTATTAGTCTCTCTCCTGCTCTTTCTGACTTGGCTGAATACATACATTTATTTTTTATTGTTCTCATAAAAGTATATTTAACATTCTAGTAATGAATGAGTATGAATACTTCTATAAAAAGGTAAAATGGAAAATATTCTCGAAAATAAACATAAGAACAGACAAACTGATAAATTAATGAGTTTATGAACAAAAGAGGCACCAGGAAGACTGGCCTATAGACCCTATAACCTTTTTATATGAAATGTATACACTATAGCTGCGAGCTGTCAAATGTGTTGACGACCACTGAACTGATCAAACATCGTATTCATTATAAAGCTCAATGAACTCAAAATTCGGAGTCTATTTAATGGTGTTTGACGTTCTGTACGTGAACACGAGTGACTTGTAGCTGGTAACATCTCTCTCCTGTGTGTTGGGCCACTCTTTAACAGTACACGGGTCTGGAAAGCCAGTTTGTTGAGGTTGCATTGGCCATCTTTGGTAGTTAATAGCCTCACATAGCTTGACAAGCTATCACACTCAGATGTACTTCCGTTGCCAAACTCCATGCGCACACTTCCATATGTCATCAGTTTGTAAATTGTAAAAGGGTCCATCTGTCTCATCAACGAGGCTCAGTAAAAAATGATATACAGCAACTGATATGGGATTCTTGAAGCCAATACCAAAATGAATATTTTATAGTTAAAACAATCAACACACACATAACATAAAGAAATCATTCATGATTAAGATTGTGGTGAGCAGGACATTCAACAGTGTACGAGCAGGTTCCCCAAGACAGCATGTGTGGGTCACTAAAATATCTTCATCACAGCTGACTGCTGGTCATTCCACACGTCCACCTGACAGCAAACAGCTCTGAACCGTGACATGGTTCCTAACCCTTGAACCCATGTTTATTATTATAACCATGACTACAAAGGCTTTTTATTGCGTCTCGTTCTGAAATCAGCTCAATATTTAGCCATGACATGAACATCTTTGAGATAACAATAAGCTACACTTTCTGTACTCGAACACAACAAACTGTGACAACAACTCTCACTCACGTTTCCACCGTTGTCTCCTGGCAACAAGTGGAAAGGTCAAGAAAAAGCTTCTACTTCTCCGTCACTCCCTCAATGCTGGACCTGGTCCATGAAGTGAGGTCCTCATAAGTCACTGAGACACAGAAACATGAGGAGGTAGAGTCCAGGTTGAATAGTAACAAAGTTACCTTTTAACAAAGTAACTTCATGTGTTATTTTAACCCCAACTGCAATCTCTCCTTAAACTTAACCAAACTTTAACAATCATGAAGCACATTCAACATTTCAACAGTGATTTGAATGAATGACTGTTATTTATGAAGCAACTTTAATGCACAAAATGAAGCACGAAGTGCTTTACAATTCAGCTACAAAAACACAGCTTTAAAAAACACATACATACACGGGGAGGAAGGGAGAAGAAATAGTGTTTCAATTATCTAAAAATTGCAAAATGTCATCAAATCATAAAACAGACAGCTGCTCGTCATAGGCAATATGCAAACAATTTGTTTTGAGTTGTCTTTTAAAACTATACTGAGTCAGAAGGGCTCATTTTTTTGGGCGTTGTGGATAAAAGTGAGTCCAGACCTTTGAATCTGTCCACTCCACTGAGTCTGAGTGCACTGATTTGTCTGACATCGTGACATGAAACAGCGTTTTCTCCATTAAAAAGTAATCAGCCTATCAGCGCAGCGGGGGGAAGAACAATTAGCCAATCAACGCCAAGGGTAGTTTGTCCGACTGTTACAAGATGGTGGGTTGAGACTCGGACACAGTTGTTTTTCCGTGGCGTCTTTGTTGGTGTATCACCAATCCCCTTCTCTACTCTTCTCCAGCTGTTCTCATTCGTCACCGCAGCCGTAGCAGTAAGTGTAGTTCATACTTGCCGTAGTGAAGCCGGTGTGAGCACCAGAAAATGACGTAATCACGGCCTGCACGTCGCGTGCGAAGGGTCCGCAAGTGGTGCTTGGTTGTGCACTTCTGAATTGTTGTAACGATCACGTGACTGTCACAACTAGTTCACTGATAAAAGCTTTATTTACATGTCTGGAGATTACAAAGAAGGACAATTTGTTTTTAGAGGTTTTAGAAACAGGATTTCTTAAAAATCTTTATATGAGTTTATATTTTGCAGCCAAATCAAATTGTTTACAGAATATCAACCTTATACCTTATAAAGCATGTAATACTTGAGGTCTTGTACAAAGACAATACAGTAGTCCATGAATATGAGATATGAGTTTACAGATAATTGCAATCCCTCCTCGTCATAGTGGAGGTTGCTTTATGGCTTTATGCCGGTTATACCTACAGTCTATGGGCATATCTCTGGGTTACACTTGTGGTCTTTTTGATGCTTTACATTTCACTTTGTTTTATATTTCTTTTGGAGAATAATGCAACTACCAGCACACTGAGCATAAACACCTCCGTTCATGCTCGGAGCTCACACTGCGGTGCCGAGAAGGAGTATAAACAAAGCTTGAAGCTCGACTGCCACCTCTTTACAATACATTGTGAGTCTTCAAACCATGCAAGTAAGGATGTCTGGATTAACCAACTTTTACTATAACTGAGATTCTATAAGTCACAGTTTCATAACCGTAAGAATTGAAGAAGCTACAATATCAATGGTGTCCTGATTCCTACATTAGTGGCCTGTGACAATGACTTTCCTGAGACACGTTGTTTGTGTGTGCTCTGAACGTCATACGTCTGTTCTGGTTTGTATTGTGTGTGTGTGTGTATGTAAGAGCTGTAAAAATGTCAGAGGAAACCAACACTCTAGCCTTATATCTGCTGAAAAAAGTGCCTTAAGTGGGCAGTGAGGGAGCATTTTGGATAAAAAATGACCAGAGTCATGTGAACCCAGATTATTTACACAGTTTAACCATCTGAGTGTCAAAAAACCTTTTTCTCGGCCTTGATTAAGTACAAATCTGCGGCCTTAATGTTTTCTAGTTGCTGGTCTTATAATGCTAAAGTAACGTTGTGAACAAATCCGTGTTGTACTCGACAGGAGAGCTAGTAATGTCAGTAACATTGACAGCTAACAGCTGTTCTTATAAAGCACAGAGCAGAACCGTATGGCTCTGCTGTGGAGGTTCCATTAGTTCCATACTCCGTTCAGTATTCGCCGGCAGCCAATATTCGTCCACACGCTCAACCTTAATATTCGTCAACCAACCAGACATGGCTCTCTGAAAATTCTTTTCAAAGTGAATACCATGAAGACCTGGTCTCACATTACACCGTGGACAGAGAAAACATAAGACAGATGATCTGATTGTCATGTGATCAATCTTTCACAAGCATAGTTGTCATACTTGAGCATACCAGCTCTGACTCTGTCATCACTCATGACAGACACAACCCTTCTAGCCATGTTCATGATTCTAGACCTATTTGAAACACTACCAATCAGGCAATGATTGAGAAAACATGAAAGAAGAATAGCTTTAATAACTATGAATATCTTCAGAGTGAGGACGGTGAAGGAGTTATGAACCGACTTGGTTCTTCCTCATGGTGATCCATCATGTCCCGGGACCCTGCAGGGACAGTACACCAAAAGCTGCCCCCCCTCTGCATTCATTCTGTCTTACTTTCCACATTCTTCTGTTTAGACAGGTGTTGATCTGTGCCTCTAAAGAAATTAGTGTAGCCTTTGGCCAAAGACCGCCACTGTTGCTGCATTTTCAACCTCAGCTGCAACTGTTGTCTATTTGACACTAAAACTGGCCAAAGGACAGTCGGTACCTTTACTCGTAAAGATGCAAAGTAGCTAAAGAAATGGGGGGCTTGGGGTCAGCTTGGATAACTTGATCTTATGTGCCAGAGACACACTTCACTCCGTCCTCTACAATTACAGGGAGTCAAACTTTTCTGTCTGACCTGTGTTACTTCCCAGAGTTACCCTCTGGCAGTGAACCCGATTCGTCCAGCAGTTGGGTTTGAGCCCAGAGCCCCCCGGGGAACAAGATCATCACATGTGACCGATCTAAATTGGATTTTAACAGGGGAGCGATTGTTGATGTTGGGCTGGCCAGCCAGCTGTGGAATGCTGGGTGAAAGATGGTGCCTCATCTCCAGCGCCCACTTGTGTTTGAATCAGATGGATGGGAGCCACCATCTAAAGGCTAGAGTCCTAAGGAACACAACTCTGAAGAGAAGATTCATTCCATTTAGCGTGAACCATGAAATAATGCTGGCATTCAAAGCTTTCAGGGTTTTGCAGAATCATCCAACACAAATGTTCTGTTTGAGGAACGGAACATAATTAATTCAGTAAATGTCGTG